CTCCCCAGTCAGTCACCCAGCCACAGCCCGGCCACCAAGGCCTCAGAACTGCTCTGCATGCACTCCGCACTCTCCCCAGTCAGTCACCCAGCCACAGCCCGGCCACTAAAGGGCTGATCTGCACACTGCTCAGCCACGTATGGGAATGTCTTGCTACTAAGCCTGAACCTACCCAGCTTTGTCTGGGTCCCCTTCGTCCTTTGACACTACTGCCCACATGGACACGGCTGACTGCTTCTCCAGCCTGCAAGCTGCTCCCCAAACCACTAGCCGAAGTCATTCCCAGCAACACACCAGCGTGGTAAGACAGCCAGAAATGTGCCTCCCCAGATCAGGGCCTAATAGAAACCCCCTGTCCCCACAAGCCCATTTGCACCAGCTCTGGTTCACGTACCTCCACTTTTTTCCCCCACCTCATTTTAGCCACCAGGGGCACTGCCAAGCCAAAGCAAGACTCTGGGGGGAGAAAGGCTGGTCTAGCCTCTCTTGGGTCAGGTCTCACATTTGGCCACTTGTGCCCTAGAAATCTGGTTCCTGATGTGCTCAGAACTGCCAGGAGAGACCCCAGAATACACTCCACGCCCGCCCTCCCAGTACAGGACACAGGACTCCACACTGCGCAAGCAGGCCAGTGGCTTAGCACAGCACGAGTCTGTAACTCCAACCAGCCCCAGCTAGAGGGTGAATCATGTTACCCCCAGGAGAGCCTCTGCCCAGGGTACAGATAGGGAACGGCCCAAGCTGCAGTGTGGTGGCCCTTAAAGTTCATGCAGGCCAGTGGGTGCAACAGGAGGGGCTTTGCTGCTGCTGTTCCTCCTCCTCCCTACCCCCACCACAAAGAGCAGGTTGCATATTTGCCGCCCTCTCTCCCTCCGACATGCTGGATTCTCTGTTCCAATCACAGAGAGAAACAGCAGCAAGAACGTGCCGTTGAGCCAGGGCACGGGCAGCAAATTAGCCCATCCTCAGTGTGGCTCCCCGGGGCCATGCAATGGGTGGCTGGAAGAGCTGAACGTGCTCGAGCGCTGGCTTGAAACCTCCCTGCACCCTTAGGGGCTTCCATAACGCTGTTTGTGAGCAGCACCCGGGCTGGGCTGGGCTGGGCTGGCAGTCACAGCCCACTCACGCCAGGAAAGACAGCGCCCCAGGTCTGCCCGGGCGAGGAGAAGGAGATCTTCAGTCTGACCAGCAGGAGCAGTGAGAGGCTCCAGCTCCTGCTGGAATAAAGACCTTTTTCAGAGCACTGGCCTTTTCCAGCTGCCTGGAAACAGGAAGAGCCCAAGCCCTGAGAACAGTAACCCTCACACACACCCCAAAGACACACTGAGCTGTTAACCCTAATTACCTGTGACTGACACATGAGCGAGGCCCTGACCTTCCAGGCACTGGCTTAGCCAAAGGAAAATAAACAGCTCACTTCACAGGAAATGCAGGAGGCCATTTTCCCCTTTAACAACCCCTTCTTGCTGCGTTGCCTGAATGGCCCAAATTTAAAGAGAAAGCTTTCACTCAGGCTGCCCTCCTGCAACCTGGGCTGGGCGGCACGATGGTCTTGCAGCTCACACATCAACCGTAATTTCCAGAGCGCCCCTCTCCCAACTGCCCTACTCCTGGGGGGCCTGCAAGCACCAAGTCCTCCTCCTGCAGGCTGTATTTCTTCTGCTGGGAGCTGGTGTCATCTCCAATGCCCAGAGCCAAGCAAGAGACACAGGAAGATGCTTGGCCTTAGGTAACCTGGCAGGACACCAGCTCATGCAGAGGACAGGCAGATTTTTATGTGACAGAGGAACCAAGTCTCACATCTTTTCTTTAAAGGGACAGGAGGAAGCTGAAAACGAAATTCTGCTCCGAAGATTTTTTCACCTCCTGCTGGTACCTGTAAATCTGGAAAGGCCCAGGACTGGAGAGAAACCCAAGAACAGAGCTCTCACTGGTTCCACCTCCTGTGTGCATCTGACAGCACACTTTGTCTGGTCAGACCCACTGTTTCATAGAATAGAATATCAGGGTTGGAAGGGACTCAGGAGGTCATCTAGTCCAACCCCCTGCTCAAAGCAGGACCAATCCTCAGACAGATTTTTACCCCAGTTCCCTAAATGGCCCCCTCAAGGACTGAACTCACAACCCTGGGTTTAGCAGGCCAATGCTCAAACCACTGAGCTAACCCTTCCCCCATTTCTCTGTATAGCAGCTAGCATGGGCGACCCCAGCTAAGTGAGACCCCCCCCCCACTCCAAACTGACAGGGGAGCAGGACCCTTACATGTTTCTAAGAGTTTATTTTAAAAAATGTTCAGGCCCTCTTGTTTAAAGGGAGCGCTCTGGAAATTTCCCATCTCTTTGTAATGTATGCGCCACAGACACCTTTTGTCCTGCTCAGGGAGAGCAAAAGGCGCAGTTTCTCTCCTGGGGACCTGACAGCAAGGGATATGTCATGTTGCCGCTGTGTATAGCCCCTGAGAATGTGAAACGGATACAGCCTTGGCCCACCCCCTGCTGAGTGAGGAGAGGTCAGTCCCCACGTACAGCCAAACACAGATGCTGTCCACGGACCAGGTCTGTCACAGTCCGGCTGCTTGTCTGTGCTGCTCCAGAAGGTGCCCAGGGCCCCATGTGCTTTTGTGTTTCCATAGCCAGCCTGGCAGAACACAGCCCCCCTCTCCAACACAGCTGCTCCTGCAGCCTCAGAGCAACGGCCCAGACCACTCAAGCTCCTCGGACCCTCTCTGCACAGAGCTAGCCTCACTCCCCCTACCCCAGCACATGAGGAGCAAGCGCCGTGGTGCCCTGCGCTGGGAATGGGCCACACCGTGTTCGGAATGGGCCTGAGGCTGGAGATGGAGCTGCTTACCCGGGTGGTAGAGCTTCCAAGGCCTGTGCTGCAGCCGGAGGTGACTGGGTGCCTGAGGCAGGGGCCGGCTCCTCTGGCTCCCCAGGGACGGATGAAGCAGGAAGGGTGGCAGCGGTGGACCCGGGGGTCTCGCTCGACACTGTTGCAGGTGGTGAGGTCACTCCCACCACAGACCTTTCCTCTTCAGCGTCGGTGGCACCAGCAGAGTCCCCATTCACTGAAAATGCAGAGGGCAGAGAGATTAGGGCTGAGTGAGGAGAGACAGGCAGCCGTGGCTGATCTAGCTGGCCCTGATACGTGGCACGGCCCCACCTCCTGAGGAGAAGGGAAAACGCACCACTACAGCCATTCTTACTGACGGCAACGATTAGCCTCCGCCCCAGGGCCCCAGGTTCACAGGGAGCTTGTGGCCCTCTGCAAAGGGAGCTTCGCTGTTCACCCAAGGGTGGGGAGCAGTACTAGGGCCTCTGTTCCTCTGCCAGCTGCTGCCACCCCCTGCGCCTCCTCTGTCTGTACAGGCCGGGTTGGCGGGACCAAGCAGAGCATGTGGGAAACAAGGGCGCTCACTGTCTAGCATTTCCCCTGCGGCTGCCAGCAAACTTCCCGGCTCTAGGGGCACTGGGTTAATTCAGGTGAGGAGCAGGGATCCCAAAAACCTGCCAGGAGGTGCCCTGGGCCTTGGGAAGGGCTGACTCAGCAAGTCCGACAGTGCCAATAAATCCGACACTGCTGGACCACACTGAATACTCAGCAGGAAAGGAGCAAACCTCCCAGCTAATGGGGGGCGGGGAGGGAGAGAGAGAAGTGGCAGCAGATTAGCCTGCAAGATGCCACCCAGTGGCTCCACCCGCTGCCCAAAGCTCTGGCCTTTCCTGGTTTTCTGCTGGGGGCAGGTAGTGCCCACTTCCCTGCCACTCCCTCACAGGCCATGCCACTAGCAGCTGCTGCGCCTCCTCTGCACAGGGAAGAGGAGTGCAGCCACTCCTGGCATCCCAGTGTGCACACGTGTTCACATGCATGACGGAAGGATGGCAGCTCCCACTGTGCGTGTTCACCAGCCCCTCACCTTGACGCCTGTGGCTCTGCTAGGACTCAGGGGAACCCACGACTGGATTCTAAGTGTAACGTGTGACCAAAGCCAGGCCACAGGCTTCAAACTGGTTCTAAGAGTGAAAACAAGCAGCAGCTTGTGGCCCATGTTGACCGAAGGCTAATTCTGGGAGAGGGAGCCCCAGCCAGTCCCTGCACCTCAGTCCCTGCAGGAGACCCCTTCGCTCACAGGGCGAGATGGCTTCCACACAATGGGTAAGTCAGTAGAAATCCCAGCAGTCAAAGCAGAGGCCGAGTTACCATGGCCCTGGACAGCATTACGCCTCGGAGGTTACTTGTAGGCCCTAGGCAGATTCCTAGATGCTTGTAGATACGTACTGCATAAGAGAGCCAGTACCTGAGGGATTTTACAGACGCCAAGAACACCCCACAGCTCCATGTTGTACCTGCAGTTCTGTGGAACGCTGGGTTACACTGCAGTGGGACAGGGGCGGTACGAACAGGACAGCCTGCATCTCACAGGCTAACCTTCTCAGCGGACAAGGAGCTGAGGCAGCCAGGAGGGCATTAAACTACCACGACCAGGAGAAGGAGGCAAACCATGTACAAATGAACTCAGCGTGTTGCGAACAAACTGAATTGATACAGCCAAGAATGTGGAGAGAAGATTTCAGTCATTCACATACCAGTGCTAGGAATCTGGGGAACAAGCAAGAGGAATTGGAAATTCTCACTGACAAGAACAAATTTAATATAATTGGCATCACTGAAACCTGACGGGACAATTCACAAGACTGTAATGTTAAAGTCACTGGTTACAACTTGTTCAGGAAGCACAGAGTAGGTAAAAGATGTGTGGAGAGATACTCTACATTAAAGACAATTACCGGTTTTAGAGTGACTGATAACTCAGAACCACAGGATCCTGAATGTGTCTGGATCAGTGACCTACCTAACACAGCACAGAAGGGAGTAGTGGTAGGGGTCTGTTACAGGCCAGGGAACAAGAGGAGTTAGGGGTGTATCAGGGATCAGAAATAATGACCTGGTTCCATTCCATATGGGCAAAGAAAGGAGAGTCCCAACAAGCAATATATAATCTTGGTGCTTCAAAAGAGTTGATTTCCCAAAGCTGAGGAATATTCTGAGCAAAATTGATTGGAGAAAAAATTTAGACAGAAAAATGTGAATGAAAATAGGGAGTTGTTTAAGAAGAGTTTATTAAATGGCCAAAAATCTAATTCTACAATCCAAAAAGATGACATCTTTGGCAAAAAGCCCATCCTGATCCAGAGGCAAAGCGAAGGCAGCTACTTGAAATAAAACAGAAACATATAACAAATGGAAAAATGGGGAAATAGATAGCAAACAATATAAATTAGAAGTTATGAAGTGCAAAAAATTTATAAGGGAAGCTAAAGACATCAAGGAAAAAAATCCATGGGATAGGCCATTATTATTACATAGAGAGAAATCATTAATAATGATACAGATAAGGCAGAAGTGTTCAATAAATATCATTTGGAAAGAAGCAGAATGATGTAGTCAGATGATAAAGTACTTTCTAGTTCATTAGTAACTAACAAGGATATTAATTGGCATCTACTAAGAACAAATATTTTCAAATCAGCAGGCCTGGATAACTTGCACCCAAGAGTCCTAGAAAAGCTGGCTGAGGAGATCTCTGGCCATTATCAATATAGCACACGTTAAATGCATGAACTGGATAACTGAACTATCCTTAAAAAAAAAAAAAAAAATTGTCAATAGGGAATCATCATTGAATGGGAGAGTTTCTAGTGGGGTTCAGCAGTGATCAGTATTCACCCACACACTAGGAAAACTTTCATCAACGATCCTGAAGTAAAGCCATTGCTGAAAACATTTGGGGATGACACAAAGATTGTTGGAGCGGTAAATAACGATGAAGACACAGCCACCCTACAGAGTGATCTGGATTGCTTCATAACCGGGGCCCATTTAAACAAAATGTGTTTTAATACAGACAAATGCAAAGTTATGCATCTAGAAACAAGGAAAGCAGTGACGTTGAAAAGGATTGTGAGGTCATAATGGACAAGCAACTCCACATGAACTTCCTGTGCGATGCTCTGGCAAAAGGGCGAATGCGATTCTTAGATGTATGGAAAGGGGAGTAGGGTGGGAATTTTACCTTTGTACATGGCATTGGTGAAACTGATACTGGAATATTGCGTGATGTCCATGTTTTAAAAAGGATACGGAAAATTTGGAAACGGTGCAGAAAAAAGCCACAATAACATTTGAGGGCTGGTAAAAAAACCAACCACCTTACAGTGAGAGACTTAAAGAGCGCAATCTAACTTGATTACAGAGTGTAAGGAGAAAATACCAAGTACTCAAGAGCTCTTTAATCTAACAGGGAAAGGCAGAACAATGTCTGAAAGCCAAAGCCAGACAAATTCAAACAGAAATAAGGCACATTTTTATTTTAAAAAAGGGTGAGGGTGATTAACCACTGGAACAAACTCCCAAAGGAAGACCTCTCTCGATGGCTTCAAATCTAGGAAATACTTTTGTCAAACACAAGTTTCTGGGCTCAGTAAGGGGTAATAGAGAATTTTATGGCCTGCAATATACAGGTGTCAGATTAGGTGATCTAATGTTCCCTTCTGGCCTTAAACTTTATGTTTTTATTAATTTATACACACACACACACACACACACACAAGAAAGGAGAAATTGATAGTAATGAATATAAATAAGAAGCTCGGAATTGTAGAAAATTGATATGGGAAGCCAAGGAACACAAATAGAAATCTATGGCCAGCAGAGTTAAGGACAATGAGTTTTTAAAATATATTAGGAACAAAAAGACCCCTGACAATGGTATTGGTCCATTACTAAATGGAAACGGTAACATTATCAGTAATAATGCAGAAAAGGCAGTGTGTTCAGTAAGTATGAGAGACAGAATACATTCCTGTATTCATACCCTAGACACTATTGTAATAATCTCTGTATACACTTGTAAGGTATCATTTTTTAATATTCTGGGCAGTATTGTCCTGGTAAAATGTGTGTGGCAACACTGTGTGAAGTTATGACGCCCCTGTATGGTGTTATTACCACATGTTCCAAACCCCACAGCCCTGCCCAAAGAGAAGCTGGCAAACAGGTCTGTCCTAAGCAAAGGAATATGTGTGCTGCTTAATTTGCATCTAAGCAGTAAACAGAGTCATCAAGCAGGAAAGGAAGCAAAGAAAGCTGGCAGGGAACGTTCTTCCACATAGACTCTTTGTCTCCTTGTGCCCAGCGGGAAATGATTTTCAAGAGGGGGACAAACTATAAAAAGGAGGGACAAAGACCTGAAGCCCCCCCCCCCCTCCACCTATCGCTTTGACTGCACCTAAAGAGATAAAGGAAGCAGATGGACTCTGGAGGAGGGGTCCTGACCTCAGAGTTTCATCAATAAACTGCTGGAGCATGTGTTGAGAAACTTTGCTTTGAATCTCATGTAGTTTGTTAAGTTAGGCATTAGTAAGCCTTTAATCTTCATTTTTCTAGTAACCATTTCTGATTTTCATGCCTCATTACTTGTACTCGCTTAAAAGCTCTCTCTTTGCAGTTAATAAACTTGTTTTACTGTTTTATCTAATCCAGCATGTTTGAACTGAAGTGTCTGAATAACTACTTAAGATAATACACTGGCATATTAAAGGAACAACAGACAAAATATTTGTACTGGCCAGGAGAGGGCTGGCCAGTACAGGACATACATTTCTTGGGGGAAATCTGAGACTGGGGTTGTGCTGGGGTCACCCAAACACAGTGAGAGCTACAGTGTAAGCTAAGGCCTGGTCCACATTACCCCCCCACTTCGGACTAAGGTACGCAAATTCAGCTACGTTAATAACGTAGCTGAATTTGAAATACCTTAGTCCGAACTTACCGCGGGTCCAGACGCGGCAGGAAGGCTCCCCCGTCGATGCCGCGTACTCCTCTCGCCGAGCTGGAGTACCGGCGTCAACGGCGAGCACTTCCGGGATCGATTTATCGCGTCTAAACCAGACGCGATAAATCAATCCCAGAACATCGATTGCCTGCCGCCGGACCCTCCGGTAAGTGTAGACGTACCCTAAGTGTGGCTGGCAGGCTGCTGTTACAGACAGACACTCACGGTGTGGCTTGCATGCTGGAAGGCTGTTTGTGAGTGGCCCAGGTGGGAGCTACTTCAGCAAGGCATTGTAAGGCACCCAAGGTTGCAGGGCAGGTGTCACACAGCCCCATACTGGTCTGGCCTGTACCCTGGTATGTCACAGTATTGCTGTTCCATAATTGTGGGGGGGAAACAGATGGTGGTGGTGGTAACACTCTTTCCATTCCACTCCCATGTCTGGTGGATGTTAAACAGAAGCTACTGAAGTCAGATATTTTTAAATCGGCAGGTCCAGATAACTTGCATCCAAGAGTTTTAAAAGAGCTGGATGAGATGATCACTGAACCATTAATGCTGGTTTTCAGTAAGTCTTGGAGCACTGGGAAAGTTCTTCCAGAAGACTAGAAGAAGGCTAATATTGTGCCAAGGTAATTATAGGCCTTTCTGCCTGACATCAACCCTGGGCAAGATAATGGAGCCACTGATACAGGACTTGATTAATACTAAACTAAAGGAGGATAATGTAATTAATGCAAATCAACATGGGTTTGTGGCAAATAGATCTCTCATAAAAAAATCTGACATTACAAGTTTGGGTGATAAAAGGTAGCAGTGTTGACATAATAGATTTAGATTTCTGGAGGAATTTGATGTGGCATTGCACAATGTTTTCATTAAAAAACTAGAACTATATAAAATTAACATGGCACACGTTACGCGGATTAAAAACTGGCTAACTGATAAGTCTCAAAATGTTACTGTAAATGGGGAATCATAATTAAATGGGTGTGTCCACAGTGGGAATCGGTTCTTGGCCCTAGGTTATTTAATAGTTTTATCAATGACCTGGAAGAAAATGTAAGATCATCAATGATAAAGTTGCAGATGATGCAAAAATTTAAGCAATGATAAATAATGAAGAGGAGAAGTCACTGACAGTGATCTAGATCACTTGGTAAACTAGGCACAATCAAACAATATGGGTTTTTATACAATTAAATGTAAATACACCTCTACCCCGATATAACACGACCCGATAGAACACGAATTCGGATATAACGCGGTAAAGCAGTGCTCCGCGGAGGGGGGGGGGGGGGGCGAAGAGATGCTGCGCACTCCAGCGGATCAAAGCAAGTTCGATATAACCCGGTTTCACCTATAACGCGGTAAGATTTTTGGCTCCCGAGGACAGCGTTATATCGGGGTAGAGGTGTATATACATCTAGGAACAAAAAAATGTCCGCCATATTTACAGAATGGGTGACTCTATCCTGGGAACCAATGACTCTGAAAAAGCTTTGGGGGTCATCGTGGACAATCAGCTGTTTTGACCACAGTGTCACACTGGGAGTTCATGTTCAGCTAATGCGATCCTGGAATGCTTAAGCAAAGGAATCTCTAGTACAAGGAGAGAGGTTATTTTACTTCTATATTTGGCACTGGTGTGACTGCTGCTGGAGTACTGTGTCCATTTCTAGTGCCCACAATTCAAAAAGAATTTTGATAAATTGGAGAGGGTTCAGAGAAGAGCCACAAGAATGATGAAAGGATTAGAACACATGCCTTGTAGTGACAGACTCAAAGAGCTCAGTCTATTTAGCTTAACAAAGAGAAGTGCAAGGAGTGACTTGATCACAGTCCACAAGTATCTACATGGGGAAAAAATATTTAATAGTGGTCTCTTCGATCTACCAGAGAAAGGTCTAACATAATCCGATGGCTGGAAGTTGAAGCTAGACAAATCCAGATTGGAAATAAGGTGTACATTTTTAACAGTGCAAGTAATTAACTGTTGGAACAAATTACCAAAAGTCATGGTGGACTCTCCATCACTGAGAATTTTTAAATGGAGATCGGCTGTTTTTCTAAAAGATCTGCTCTAGAAGTCATTTGGGGGCCGTTCTCTGGCCTGTGCTATACTAGCGGTCAGACTAGAGGATCGCAATGGTCCCTTCTGAGCTTGGAATCTATGGCAGGGCTGCTCCAATTACTCAGTCACAGGGCCACAATGGCAACTCACAAGGAACCCAAAGGCTGCTCCTACCTGGCCCAGAATGGAACTTCTCTCTCCTTAAATATGGCAGTGCGGGAAGAGCACAAGTCCCAGCGCATACTGTGGGCTGTCTGGTTGGATCAAGATAGAGCATTGCACACTGGGACCAGCAGTCTTTGGCCACACTCCACAATGTTTTCATGAAATTCCAGGGCAGGCGTGGGCTACGCTGTGTGTTACCGGGAGATAGCTTTGGTTCAACAAACATCTGTACAGCCGGTTGTCATCTTCCTCCACTAGCTGAGGCCCTGAGCGCTGCCTGCCATACAGCCACTACCTGAAAAGCCAAGCATCACCCCATCCAGTACTGTGCTTCACCTGTGCCATTTGCTGTGCTCGGACTCTTGACTTGCTGGCGGTGGCGAACCCTGGTGCTGGGACTTTGGTCTCCATTCCCTGCGTTCTGTCTGGCCGCTCCAGCTGAATGTCTGTGTCCCCTGCAGGATAACAACACACACCAGGTCAGAGACTAGGCTGGCCTCAGAAGGAAACTCCTCAGTTCCTTTTGCCCGGAACTGTGCTGAAGGACACAAGCTACCCTCCCTCCAGGTGCACCCTGCCAGCCTTCCCAGTGAGTCCCACGCACCTGTGCTCCCCAGAGCACCTCCCTAACTTCGAACACCCTCTCCCCAGAACACCCAGCTCAGAGACAGGCAGGCACGCTGGTTCCAGACACATCTCGGCCACTAGTGCCCAAGTCCCAGCAACGGGGAGTCCAGGAGAAACAGTGTGGGGGCTTTGGTGCGGGGCATTAGGGGCTCAGAGGTCTCAGTTCCACACGCCTCTGCTCACCTTGCACTAATGGGCGTATTAATGAATAATCCAAGTCTCTTCTGAGAGACACTTGGTTATTTGGTGCTAGAGAGTCCTACTGTTCCTGAATTCGGATTGGATCTGGTCCTGGTCCCCAAGCCAGATCTAGACACAGGACTCTCCCCTACCAGCGGTGGTGACATTTTTAGAGCCAATCTCACCTCTCCCCAGTCATGCAGCGACTCCCCAGGCTCAGTTGTCCACCTGTCCCTGTGGGCACAATTCCCCTCGCTATGCCTGAGACGCTCCCATTCCCAAAGAGTGTGTAGGCACGGCCAGCCAACTTCACTCACTGAGCAGCCTCCCACTCGAGGACTCCAGCCTCCAGCACTTGCAGCTTAAGAAAACATGGCATGTCTCACAGGAGGGCTGAGCCGAGCGATTCAGGAGAACCCTAGCACCGCACACCGGCCACAGGTGAGTAGGGAAGGACAACGGGACACTGCAGGACTGGACTCGCAGTGCCAACCACTCCCCATGCAGGAGGGGACAGGCTGGCTGGGCGCCGGGGTACTGGAAGGCTGGTCTCAGACAGGAGTTGTTGGCCATATTGAATTTCCGGGAAGCGGGCGGGCGTAAGCCCACTCACGTCTAAAGGCCCCTCCCCCAGCGTCACATCTCATGTCTGTCTCTCTCTCACACACACACCCTATGACACCTGCCTGCATCTCAGCCTGCAGGTCATGCATTTGGCTGAGCTGTGGGCAGGAGATGCAGTTCCTCCTGCAGCAGCTGCTGGAGGTGTGGCGATACCTGGCTTCAGGCACTCAGCCAGCACAGAGTCTGCCCCAGGAGGGATGGGGGGAGCCAGAAGCTGGGGTGACTGAATGGGGAAGGGAATAGGGCAGGATCTGAACAGGGATGAGAGGCCGCTGCTGCCCATCCGCCCACTACCCCTCTCTCAGGTTGCACCAGCCACGCAAAGAGGTCTGTGCTATGGATCTGAAACCCTGCTGACAGCTGATACAGGGAAAACAACGACCGACAGGGAAAGACTGAAACTGCGTTTGTTTAGTCTGGAGAAGGGGGGGGGGGGCACATGCTAACAGTCTTCAAATACATAAAAGGGTGTTAAAAAGAGGAGGGTGATACATTGTTCTCCTGAACCGCTGAGGACAGGACAAGAAGCAATGGGCTTACATTGCAGCAAGGGAGATTCAGGTTGGACATCAGGAAAAACTTCCTGTCAGGGTGGTTAAGCACTGGGACAAATTACCTAGGGAGGCTGCAGAATCAGATTTTTAAGAGCAGGTTAGACAAACACGAGCCAGGCATGGTCTAGATAATACTTCGCCCTGCCTCAGCGCAAGGGGCTAGAAAACCTCTCGAGGTCCTTCCAAGTCCCACGTTTCTAGGAGTCTAATGTGTGACTATGGAGTTCAAGACTATCCTAACATATATGTATGCGAGGGAGTGTTAAGGTAGCACTGGGAATCTTCATTCTGGCTTTTCCTAACTGTTGAGAGCTGGACTTTGCAACCTTAACATTCTTCTAACTACACTGGTTTTTAATGTGCCTATTTATATCGGACCCCCCCTGATTTTCACACTTGCTGGGGCATTAGGCGCCTCAGGGCATTGCTGTGGCTTACAAAGCTTTCACTTCTCAGTCTTCATCCTGAACCCAGCCCAGCTCTCCGCCCGCTTTATACTACTGGGATTGTACTGCTGCCCACCACTGGAATCTGAGCACCCGCAACCAGCCTCCCTGAGCTCTTGGGCACATCGCCATCTCTGGGGGAAAGTTCTGCTTGGGGGAGGGATTTTAGATTTCATCCACGGCCCCTGCGGTTGTTGGGGTGAAGGGGCAGTGCTGAGAGGGTGGAAAGGGGTTTTCAAGAGGAAGGTTTTGCAGTGTTTCCTACAGACAGACTCTGGATTTGCCTGAGCTCAGGTCAGCTCAGCCGGGATGAAAAGCTGTTCCCATCTACGGGATGTTTGGGGCCCCTCTGTAAGAGGAGTTTGCTGGGTCTCAGGCCCTGAAACGGCACTGCCTTGTTACTGCGAGCGGCCGCCCCCCGGGATGGGCCATGCTGCAGGGCAGTGCGCACGTGAAGCTTGCCATGCTGCGGCTCTCTACATACACGCCGGGCTTCGTTCTCCAGGGCTGCCAGCTGACGTTTCACTCCCCGTAAAACCACTCATTTAAGATCAAGTTAGGGGCATCTGCTAATTATCTCATTCCATAACTTTCATAAAACCCATTACACTTGGCAGCAGTTAATTATCAGGCTAATTATCAGGCTGATCCATGTCTACCCAGAGGCTATTTGCAGCCCCTGGCCCTCAACCTCAAGTGAGCACCAGCATTAACATCGACTGGAGGAAATGGGGGGCTCTTACACATGGCTGGTCAACTCCCCGGCACAGAGTCCTTCCCTCTGCTCTCAGCACAGACCCCTGCAGAACAGCCGGTCGTCTTCATTCCGCACAAATCAAGGGGTTAAAATCTCATGCACAAGCAAAGAGGCCGGGCACACCAGGAGGGCTGGGATGCACTGCGCTGCAGGAGCCAGAGCCTTGGGAATACTTACAGCCTGCCCCTTCCACAGCTCACGGGATCACCCCACTCCTCAGCGGTGGGCTGTGACACACCTAAGCCATCAACCTCTGCCTTCTAGCCAACACTCCCCATCTCATGCGTTAACATGCATTGGCAGCTTCGTTTCAGGGAGGTGCAGAGCTGGAGTTCAGGAGAAAAGGCTGGAGAAGAGGCCTGTCGACAGAGCAGGGCAGACTAGCTGCCCTTGAATCTAGGCACACCCCTTGCCTGAGAGCAGGACAGTGGCACAGGGGCTGAAGGTCAGACCATCGAGTGGACAGGGCACCAGAGCTAAGGAGGAAGCCAGTCTCTCAGTGGAACAATGCCTCTGCTGGCCAGCCAAGAGGGAGGCATGGGCTCAAGAAATGAGTGTGCCGCAAAGCCACAGATCTGTCTCCAACTCTGCCCAGGCTCCCGGGTGAGCAAGGGACTGGAGTCAGGACTCGCAGGTCCTATTACTGTCTCCACTCCTGGCTTGCTGTGTGACCTCGGGCAAGTCCTGTCTACACTACAGCTTGCAACAGGGATCTTGTCACAGGCACACACACGTCCAGTTCCTGGTTCACTTTGGGTCTACAGTGTAGCTCTGCTGCCATCACATCCGCTATGCTGCCCAACCCCTTCGGTGTCACTGCATTCTGAGCACGGCCCTCAGCAGGATAGTGGCCAGGGCACACAATGCCGAGTGGCCAGGGCCCAGGGGGCCTTTGGGTGCTACCATAGTAGAAATGTAACACTAATCAATGCACATGGAGCAGCAGCAGGATGCAGAGCAATGTACCCTGGGCTCTCTGGCCGCACAGAGCTGGGAGGAAGGGAAACCGGCCAAAGCAGTTACACAAACATGATTAGGGGATCCGGTCTGTACTGACCTGGCTACGGGGGGAGAGACCCATGTGCCAGCTGCGGCCTCCAGCAGGAGCAAAACACTGCCAGCTGCCACGTTTCCTAAGCAAGCTTTAACCCTGGGCGGCACTGACACAATCCAAGTTTCGAGCCAGCTCTGCTGGCAACTGGTGACAAACTGGGTCCCCACTTCTAGGTGCAGGGTGCCTTCACCGCTCTGTGCCCCAGAAGAGCACTGAGACCCTCAGGAAAAGGACCTGCTTCACCCTTGCTGGCTGAAGCCCATATCGGAGCAGGGTGGGGCAGAGCTCAGGGCCTGCTGGTAGGGGAGTTGGATAGCAGCCACCAAGAAACAGAGTCCTCTTTCCGGGGCAAGGAGCTGCCTGGAAGGCTCTGGTGGCCGCAGAAGGCATGACTGTTTAAGGCTGGGGGGAGCAACGGGAATCACTGACTTGTGGAAATAACCTGGCATTCAGAAGATGTTCCAAGCGGGCTTTTTACACTAGCTCTACAAATGAGGGCAGGGAGAACCCTTCAGGCAGAGAACAGCTCCCTGTCCCGACCTCCCGGACGGGGATGGGCAGAGCAGCCAGACTCTCCCCCACCTGGCTCGGGCATCTCAGGACCACAGGGCAGTGCACAGCTCCCAAATGAGCCCTGCTGAAGCAGCCCCTTCGGCAGGGAGGGTGGGGAGCACCGAGAGGAAAGAGTCCAGACAAGCTATCACCTTAAAAGGGCAAAACCTTCCCGCTGTCCTGGCAGCTCAGGACTCTGCACAGAGCTGGGGTCGGGGAGGAAAAGGCAGCTTGGCAGCCACAGGGCCACATCAATCGGGCCCCACACGAGCGCTGACAAGCCCACAATTGCTTCCAGTCGCTCAGTTCTTGCTCCCCGCGGGGAGCAGCTGAGCGTGACCCTGGGACCGGGGGGGGGGAACGTGGGCAATAGCACAAACTGATTGCTACAGAGAAATCAGCCACTGATAAGAGCAGCCGGCTCCATCCAGCAGACGGATGGGTCGGAACGCGAGCAGGAGCAGCTGGGCCCGTTTCTGACCAGTCACAATTCCTCCCATGGGGCAGCCCTGGAGAGAAAGCCTTGGCTCTGGCCACAATTCTCATTACAGCCCCCCTCCCCCCAAAAAAGCTCCCCCTGAACCCAGGCTGGGTTGGGGCCTCTCTCCAGCATGGCAGGATTCAGGAGAGAATTCTCCTGTGGGTGGAGAAGGAACTCCCC